AATGAGCAAAGCGCACTTTCACTATCGATTCCTCACAGGCGGAGTGCATTTGGTATCACTCCGCCTGTGACAGGAGTCAGGGCTATAGAGGAGGCATGGGCTTATGCGACTCTGCTCCCTCTGCTGCCGCCTCGCTTACTCTAGCGCTGGCTTCGTTGGCACCGCTGATTCTCTCCTGCCTCTCTCGCGGCTCTTCATGTTCCCCCTTTTGCCACCACCGGCCCTGGGAATGGTCACAACTAGGTCTTATTTTCGGGGTATGTCTTATATTTTAGCAATTCCCAAAAATAGTACTAGGTTTTATTTTCGGGGTAGGTCTTATTTTCGGGAAAACAGGGTATGTGTACAAAGAATCACAAAGATTCTCTTCAGGAACTGCTTTCTACACTAGCTTCACACTGGTTTACATCCGTTTCTAAGGGCCTGTTGAGTCTGGTAAAACAGGTTTGTAAGAGGGTGCAGGTTTCACTTTTAGAGTTTTTTTTTTTTAGTATTAGGCCCTCCAGGGGGGCAGAGTGGTGTGGTGACGGGTGGGGTGACATTGGGGAAATTAGAAAGTGGGAAGAAGACATTAAATGGCACCATGGAGAAGGAGCAGTGGACCTGTGCCAGGAGGACATGTAGTAGAGATTAGTGTAAGGATCTCCCAGTTAGTTGATCTGACCAAGCATTAGGTTTGCAGCATTCCATTGGCCTGTACAAGTGTTGAAGCAGTGTCCTGGAACTACCTTGAGATAACAGGCCTCTTTAATGAAAGGCATTACCCTGGTAGCCTAGCATTGTGTGAAAAGTAGCCTACCACATGGGCCACTCCCATGTAGAAACTGCTTGTAGATTCTGGGGCGTCCCTTGTTAGATTCTGAGGCTTAGGCTCCATTCACAGCAGGACTTTGCCGTGTTCTAGGATTTGTGTGGCAAGAACCTATGGAAGGCCGAAAGGTGGAGTCAGCCCTAACCACTAAAGGAATTTTTTGAGTTGTGAGCACAGCGTAAAACTACACCACATAGGCACAATTTTTAACCTTTCAAACAAAAGTGTGAGAAAACCTTAAATGAGATCACCATGCACTTGACTGGATGTTTAAGGAAAATACAGATTGACAGGGAAAAAGAACATGGGTATAAAATAGGTGTTGTTGCCTATAGTGACCAATCAGAACTCTAATTTAATATTTTATATGAAAAAGCCTGATCACTCGCTATATCTCTACTTCTTTAGTTGTATTGCATCAGCCCCTCTGTTTAACCACTCCTTTAATAGTTTAGAATTTCCCTTGTATTATGCTTTGTTATATTTCATCTGTTTTATCACCCTGAGGGCAGGGTGCCATGTCAGTGTTACCTCTGGTATACAGTATGTAAATCAGGGAGTTTTCATTTTGAGCATGCTTTACAATGATAGGCTGACATTGACCGTGGCTATTTGCAGAAAATTGTATGTGAGACAGCTGCTGGGAATTTCCCAGTCTGGTAAAGAACCTTTATGAACCTTTATTTAAGAGTTTATGATTTGTGAAGCACTGAAATGTTCAATCTCTATTACTAATTAGTAGTCGATTAGGTTTGTAATAATAGCATTTTCTCGTACATCAAAAGTAAACCCTGACGCACATACTAGATGGATAATATCATAAAGATCTATGCTGTAACGACAGCCAGGCGTAAGGGGGCTTATGCAAGAATCTGAACATTTCGTTTTCTAGTTTTAGAATTCTGCCGCCATACCTATAAAATACTTACATGCACTCTCTCTTCATTACATAGCTTTACTTAGTTTTTTTCTGATGATGACTCCTGGAGGTAAGTGCTGGAGGTGGATGGTCCCTTGAGCTCTGATAGTTGCAGCCTTGAAATCTCTCTGAGTTTGCCGATAACTCATGGGGGTCTATTTATTTGCCCTGCAAATCAAAGACGAATGTTCTGGTTTTACTTTTTTAGGTTGAATGTAATGTAATATCGCATTGTGGCCACTAGATGGAGCTGGGGCGCATAAGAATACTTATTTCCTTTGCTGCTTAGTTCCATCTAGTGGCCATAATGCAGTATTACATTACATTGGACCTGATAAAAACAATATGCTAAGAATGTTAGTTTTTGCCTCTATTCACACAGTACAATTGTTGACAGAAATTTACAGGGTGAATGGCTCTGCAGATTGTTTATAAATAGAGCTCATGGTGTCTTCCAGCTACCGAGTAAGCATAGTAGTGTGAAGCAGGGCCCTACAGTTGTTTACTACTAAAACTACAGGGCTATGCTATGTACACTTAGGAGATAGTATTGTACAATTATTAAAGAGTAACTCCAGCCCAACCCTGCTTTGGAACAGTGTCCATGATCAACACTAGGCATGAGGTGTGAGTTTGCTGCTAGCATGGGTTTGAGGCAAATCCTGCAGATTTGATATTCACAGTCCATAGGGCCCCAGGACGGGATGAACATGAGTTACATCATCAGAGGCAGCACAAAGGCCAATAAGATGTCAGGGGACCCAGAAGTAGCAGCAAACATCATGGCACGGGAGAGGGGGGGCATAGATCGGTCAGCGCTGGAGGAGGGCATACCCACAAAGGTAAGTGTGCCATAATATGCAAGTGTACTGTGTAGATTTGCAACTTATGGCAAGATCTTACTCACTTTACTTTGGCCTTGAAAGACTAAAATCCAATAGTAATACAATGCACTCACATGAAAACAAATGAAGAGTGGACCAAAACAAAGTCCTTTGTGTGGAATCCATAAGCTCAATGGACATGCTGTAAACAAGCTTGAAAACCACAGAAGTTGTGAGATGTTAAAGGGTAACTCCGGTGAGAACCTCTGGTAAACTTTAATGCTGTTTCGAGATGATTTCACTGCACTTGTTGTCCCCATAGACACAACAGGTGTGGAAATCTCCCCAAAATGAAGAAACTAGAATTCCCATTGCAAGATATCCCCTGTACTCCTAAAAATAAATGTTTTGGCTGGAGTTATAATGTAAACTTGAGAAACATCAAGTATTTTTATTAAAGGAGAACTATGGGGTCAGTGTTTTTCCCCATAGTTCTCCTTAGGGTAACGGGAGGACACAAACTAGCGTCCTTCCGTTACCCTAAGCTCAGTATACCGCGAGCTACAGCTTGCGGTATACTGAGACGCCGCAGGCGGAGCAGATCCCGACATGGACCTCGGGATCCGCCCAGCTGCGTGAGTGACAGCTGGCTCTGCCTATCTAGAGGCAGAGCCAGCTGTACCCGCCCCCTCCCCCGTCCATTCCGCCAGTCAGCGCTGGCAGATCGGAGCGGGGAGAGGGGAATCCAGCCCCTCCCCCTGTCACGGCAGAGAGCCGGGACAGGATCGAGATTTGAGCGAACCCGGTATGTGTTCGCTCACCTCCCGATCTACTGAGCCGACCTGTGACAGTCTCATTGTCACAGGTTGGCTAGAACTATGAGGTGAGTGGAAATCACTCACCCCATAGTTCTCCTTTAAACCTTTTTGATCCCATATCTAACCTTGTAACATCTGTATCAATGTTTTAACTGACATCCTAATGAGCTTTTACATGAGGCAAATGTCTTCTTGTTCTAAACTTTTTCAGTGTTATCGGAGACAAAGTGGTCATCATGTGTGAGGTGGTGGTTTGTGATACATCTGTGCAACTGAAACTTGGCGACATCACAGCAGAAAAGACGGACGCCATAGTAAACCCAACCAATGCAACGCTGGATCAAAACACTGGTAGGACATCACTGAATTCTTGGTATACCTCATTCATGCTTATTTAGGCAATTTTAAGAGGGTGACTAATGGCTTTTAAGAAGGTGACCTCGGCAGATACATTGATTGATGTGTAAAGGGTCTGTGAGAGCAGTAATGTCTAGCAGTCTCTTATAATCTAATGTGTCTCTTGCCTATGACCATGCCCTGGTTTCCTGACTCATGTTCCCAATCTACAATATTCTATAGCAGGTACACACATACTGGCCATCCGCTACAGCATGTCATGTACAGCAGTCTTTTACCATCTCCTGAAGCATGTTTGTCTTCCCTAATAGTTATCTGTAGTTTCACATTTTGCATATTATGTACAGCCTTTGGGGGGGTGTCAGGGACCATAGCTGAGGTCCCCTATATGAACAAAGTTGACCACCACTGTGCTAAACCTTCCTCGCTCTACACTACATAGAGGATTGTATAATATTTGTCATGGTTAAAGCTGTACTCCAGGCAAGCAGCTAACCACACAGCTGAAATATACAGTATCTATCTATATATATACTGTATACACACACACACACTGTATATTAATACAATTAATAACCAGTCCTTAGAAAACATTACGTCTCCACCTCTCAACCACACCTCAAGCAGCATGCTGGGACTGCAGGGATCCAGTCCGCAGTAATTATATCCAAGAACAGCTCCACATGAGACTGTTACCTGCTAAAAGAATTGCAGTTAAGATCAGGAACAAGTAGGCACTGGATTCAGGGATTCAAAAGATCGGTCGGAAATATGTTAAAGCACAATGGCTTTGCTGAGACCGTTCTCAACAAAAATAGGATGTCCCATATTCAAGGGAACAAAGAAGCAGATTACCAGCACTCAATAATAAAGATGAATATGTCCTTTTTATTGGACAAAGACGTCACAGTGATCCAAAAAGCTGACGTTTCGGGGCCGCACAGGGTCCCTTCCTCAAGGCGGAAAGACAAACAGGGAGCCGTGAGTGACAGTGACGGCTCTCTGCAGGGAGATGATCGAGAAGTGAGCTTCCCGATATATTGAGCCGGCCTGTGACAGTTTCATTGTCACAGGTCGGCTAGAACTATGAGGCTAATTTTCACTTGCCTCATAGTTCTCCTTTAATATCTGCCTGGAGTGCAGCTGTAAAATAGAGCTGAAGTCATGAAGGTAGTCAATATGTATCCAATATATATATTTCTTTTTGCTTATTTTCAGGTGTATGCAGAATTATCCTGGCCACAGCGGGGAATACGGTGAAGGACGAATGTGAACGTTTAAGTATGAAAAAGTGACAAATGATTGTAAACTTTCAATGCTAACTTGACATACTCGTATCATTTGAATTCGCCTAATTCAAGTGGAAGTATATAAAAGCAAATATTAAAGAAAATCTTGATTCAGTTCATATTGAAAAAAAACAACTCAATTTAGGCCTATTTTCCATGATTTCTCCCCTGTAAGTACCCGAATCACTATTTGCTCATTTTAAACAGTCCCCCTACCTTTTATCAGCAGCAAAGGGATAAGAGGTCTCTGTAAGTAAGGGCTAGTGCACACCAAGTTGCGGAGCAGAGGCAGAGCAGTTTAAGAACGCTTCAAAAACCCATCCAATGTATTCAAATGGTATTTTGGGCTCTAGTTCACACCACAGCGTTTAGTTCCGGTGCATGTGGAAAAACTGCTGCATACACTATTTTCTATGCTTTGGAATGCATCAAAACGTGTGCAAACAAATAAAAATGCATGCAAACTCTCTGGAACACACTGAAAGCCCATTTTAAACTAAAAAAATACGCACTAGAACGCATAAAAAATGCGGCACAAACGCAGCATATAGCACTGCATATGCAGAAACGCATCCAGGTCTGGTGCGGATCTGGTGTGAACAAGCTCTGAGTGAACATGTTGCTTTGCACTGCACAGACAAAGCACAAAGTCACTTTCAGGGTGCATGGTATGTCACTATATCCAGTACATTTTATAACTATTATAGGTTTTGTGTATAGTAATATAGTCATATATTAGTAATATTGTCTATAGCAATATATTTTGGGAGACACCTATCTAGGGTGTCACTACCTGTCCAATACAAGATCATAAGCTGATAAAACTGTTAGCGTAAACATGAAATTGTCACTCCATTCTTCATTATAATTGCCAGGAGGAAACATAAATAATCAATATTTCCATTTGCTTCCAGGCAAGTTCCCCAATGATGGGCATGTCGTTACTGTAGCTGGGAATCTGGAATTCCAAAGAATAATCCACTTGGTAAATGTAAACGCAGAGACCATTGTGACACTGGTTAAAAAAGCTCTGAAGGCCTGTGACCAGTTCAATTTGGCATCTGTTTCCTTCCCAGCCATTGGGGCTGGTGATGGTCTTGATGCCCAGATCGCCATCAAATCAATGATAAAAGGGATTGAAGATTACATGACCAATCCAGCCATCATGACCATCATCTCGAAGATTGTCATTATTACCAGAGAGCGCAATGATTACGACGAGTACCTAAAGTTTCTTCAAAACTACCAGGTAAATGGCAGGATTCGTAGTACTACTATAATATCACTACTACAATTCTTCATTTTTTTCATTATAAAAATGTAAAGATCCATGCCCCCTCCAATAGGGGGCGGGGACTGAATTTTACTGGGCCCCGCAGCTCGTTTAAAAGTTTGGTGACCGGGGCCACTGCCCCCCTGCCCCACCTGAACCCCCCCACGCTACACCACTGTGTCTTAGTACTACTCACCTACAGTCCATGTACCCATTGCACTCCTGACCGCTCGTCCATTGAAAATAAGATGGGTGCATCTGTAGTTGACGAATGGCCACAGTCCAGTAATACAGATAAATATGCAAACCGGCACTCCAATCATAGAATATGTCTATTTAATGAAGTACGTGCAAAACATACTTATTGTGAAGTTTCGTGGTCACGCAGAACAAGTGAAACATGTGGCCTGATTGTTCCGCCTGATGAAGGGGATCCTGTGTGGCCCTGAAACGTCGCAATAAGTATGTTTTGCACGTACGTCATTAAATAGACCTATTCTATCATTGGAGTGTCCATTTTTATTAGTACGGTACTACTCACCAACTCATGTCAGAATTCAGACAAGGAAAGGGAGGGGCAGCACTGTTAGCCAGTCAGGCTTTAATGCATTGTGAATCTGATAAATGGAGCTTGCTGACTGAAGAAAAAAAGCATAGAGATGACCTTATCAATGAGCTGTTCTCTATGTGATCACAGCCCCGACCAAGTGTATTGCTTGTGCAATCAGAGAAAGTAAATGGTCAGAGACTTTGGATTACATTTTGGCAGGGGAGTTTGGATAAGCAATTACAGTTTTTTGGCAAGTAGGACAGTTCACACATATCTGTATATTTAGCTATTTGCCTTCACTTCAAGAAAGCTTTCTGTGCATTCTGTTCTCTAGCGCCCCCAGATTGGAGCTGAAGGGTATAAAGAATCCTAAACATGTCACGCCATCTAGGGACCTTTTCTAAATGAGCCCCTAATTGTGGCTCTGAAATATTACTGCATAGTGTATTATACACAGCAGAAACCTCATCTAAAGAATGAAAATTGTGATATGTAATTGTCAATAAGGGATTGGCATCTTTCCGACTTTGGATATTAGCATGGGCCTCCCCTGGAATGATATTTTGCATGTCAAGGCTATCATTAAAAAAAATCTCATTTTTTGCACATTTATCACAATGTTTCCCTCCTTAGTATTAAACTCCCAATCTTTTTCTTCAATAAGGAATCCAGATCCAACAAATACACATCACCTAGCAAAGTATTTCTTACACTACAAGATCATACGGGACAGAGCAGGCCCCAGCAGCCATTCATCCACTAGCTTGGTGGAGTGAGAATGAAGGAGGAGATGGGGAGGGAAGTGGCTTGCCCTGCTGTGTCTTTGTGGAGACATACACAGCTTACTAACACACAAGGGTAGCTCCATAGGACCCTGCAAGGGAAAGAAACAGAATATCAGGCCCAAGGGACCAGCTGTAAAGCTGAACTCTGGCCTGAACCTCAGTCTTGTACAGTTCCTCTCCTGGACTGACATTGCTTACTCTGATTTCACTGCACACTGTCAGCGTCTCACAATGTGCATTAAAAGCTGCAGAAAGTCAGATAGATTCTCATTTCTGAGCTCAAAGACACTCAGCATTATCTAGTCCTCCCACCAGCCATTACCTGCCGTATTGCATAGAGACCTAGTGATGACATTGCTGGGTCTAACATAAAATGTGTAATTAAAACAATGTATGTAATTTAAACAATTTTGTTTTTAAATACTTCATTAGAATGTTAAAATGTGTGTGTGCCTATGTGTGTGTGTGCGACGGTACCAGGTAAGGCAAAATGTAAGCAGATTAAACTTCACCTTTAAATGCTCTATGCTCTATGCTCACTTTTTGCCCTTTTCTCTGTCATTTAGACTAATTACCCTCACTTTGTGGCCTTCGGAAAAACAATAGAGTTGATAAAAGGAGACATCACGGACCAGGCCGTGGACTGCGTTTTGAACCTTACAAATCAAACATTAAATCAGTCTTCTGGTAAATATATACAATATAATCATATCAGTATTCTTTAGTATGTGAAACACAGAATAGTAGATTCTAAAGCTGGAACCCTGAAACTGGTATGGTTTGGAGCAGGAAGGGTCAGTGTTTTACAAAGAGGATCCCGGTGCAGGAGAGGTGAGTGTGTAAACAAGGGATTACTTTTACACCAGGGAAGGTACATAAAGGGTTAGTATTAGGGTTACATAAAGTATTGTCCATAAAGAATTTACATGGACAGGCAGTAAAATGACTTTACAACAAGCAAACAAGCCCCCATTCATCTCTGTGTCTATAAGCATTGTGGAAAAATGATTGTCAAAGTTTACAACACAGGCAGAGCTTTTATCTATAAGAGCAGATCTTGGCAGCCTGCCAGCCTTCTAATATAAAGAACTAGCAGATGTGTCTAAGCTGCTAGAATACCACTGATGTCTGACTTCAGAGTTGTGATCTTTGAGAATATAGAACTTAGGATTAATAAAGGCAACTACAGAGGTGAGTGAGGGTTTGTTTTAAAACTTTTTCACAGCTTGTTAAGAATATTAAAATACAGTAAACTCTCTGTTATCCGGTATTCAACTAACCAGAACTCTCATTTAACCTGAACAAAAAAATCCCCTGATCTGCAGCATGTATTATCCTGGAATTGATCATGTGCCTATTTGTCTATTTGTCTTAATTTGCTTCTGATTACTGCATTTTAACATTAATATGAAGTCAATACAGAGTTTATGTTATGGTATGGTATGGGGTATTTTTAGTAGTAACTCTCAAGCAACCAGAACCTGCATTTATCCGGAAATCTACCAATCCCTGTGGATGCCGGATAACGGGGAGTTTACTGTACTTTAATGTCTATCATCTGGGCGTAGGTGCACTTTATTGTGAGAGTAAAAATGAGGGTAAAGCTTACCTCATTGAGCTACTGTATTCTGTCACCGTTCATGGTCAAAATACCTGAACAGTGACTACAGCTACTTGGCTGCAGTCACTATTCAGCCAACAATTTTCCTGTAGGCCCTTCTGACAAAATTCCACAAACAGCTTGAATTCCCGGGGCACTGCTAAACAGTGTATGGCTAGCTTTAGTGTTATCTTATAGGCAGAGCTAGAGTTGCATTGAATGTGCCATGGCTCATGGGTCCTCTGCGGTACAGTAGGTGTGGACTGTCTCAGGAGAGCAAAAGATCTTTGCAAGAGTCACTAGTAGTGCTGATGTTATGGAGCTTTCATCCCAAGGTGAAGCTCACAGAATGCCCAATAGTGACACCCGGCAATCAGACAGGGCAGGTGCTTGCATGGTTAAGGGTCCAGGCCAGGGCCGGCCTTAGGGGTGTGCGAGCCGTGTGGCCGCACAGGGCGCCATGGCAACAAGGGCGCCGTGCGGCCGTCACAGCTCGTCCTGTGGTGGCAGTTGGTTCAAGTATCATGGACAGCATGCAGATGGTCAGAGATGAAATAGTCTGAGTTTCAGGAGGATATGAAACACATTGATCATGAGGGTAAACCAGGCTGGTCCAGACAGACCAGAGTCTAACAAATCATCTTGATCAGGCAAAACCTGGAGCTTTGACTTCACTTTGTAGTTAGTTAAGGAGACCAGGTGTGCAGGCTCCAGAGTGATTGCACTGCTGAGCAAGGAAACCTTATATAGTTGGTAATGGACAAGAAGATCCAGCAACCAAAAATTCCCCTACACACCCTAGAAGACACAAGAGGAATAGCAGTCCGTGACCAGTGACCAAACGCAGATTGAGGGCATAGGCAGATTATTGAAAAGAGTTACTGTAAGGGTTTGTGTTAAGGTTACAGGGAGGATTAATGTTAGTGTTAGGGCTATCGGGCTGATTAATGTTAGTGTTAGGGCTACCGGGATGATTAATATTAGTGTTAGCGATATCGGGCTGATTAATGTTAGTGTTAGGGCTACCAGGATGATTTTTGTGTTAAGGTTACAGGGAGGATTAATGTTAGTGTTAGGGCTATCGGGCTGATTAATGTTAGTGTTAGGGCTACCAGGATGATTAATATTAGTGTTAGGGATATCGGGCTGATTAATGTTAGTGTTAGGGCTACCAGGATGATTAATATTAGTGTTAGGGCTATCGGGCTGATTAATGTTAGTGTTAGGGCTACCGGGATGATTAATATTAGTGTTAGCGCTATCGGGCTGATTAATGTTAGTGTTAGGGCTACCGGGATGATTCATGTTAGTGTTAGGGCTATCGGGATGAATAATGTTAGTGTTAGGGCTATCGGGATGAATAATGTTAGTGTTAGGTTTACCGGGATGATTAGTGTTAGGGTTACGGGGAGGATCAATGTTAGTGTTAGGGTTATCGGGATGATTAATGTTAGTGTTAGGGTTACGGGGAGGGTTAATGCTAGGCTGTGGGAAAGGTTTGTGTTGGAGTACAGCAATGGTTGGTTTATGGGTTATACAGATTATTAATGTTTTGGGTATGGTGAGAGGGCTATGGCTTCAGGAAAAGGGGGTCAGTGTGAGGGTTACAGAGGGAGTTAGTAAGAAAGGGAGCTCAGGGTAGGGCAATGCTTTCAGCACCGACATGTTTGCACTGAAAGCTACTAGTACCAAGCTTCCAATTGAATCTGCTGTATTAAAGGAGAACTATGAGGTGAGTGAAAATCACTCATCCTCATAGTTCGAGCTGACGTGTCAAAGAAACTGTCACACATCGGCTCAGTAGATGGGAAAGTGAGCGAACACATACCGTCACTCGCTCACTTCTCGATCATCTCCCTGTATTAAGCGGTGACTGTCAGTCACCACTCCCAGCAGGGATTCCCCCCTCCCCTCTCGGATCCTCCAGCGCTGACTGGAGGAACTGAGGGGGCGGGTACAGCTGGCTCTACCTCTAGAAAGGCAGAGCCAGCTGTCATTCATGCAGCTGGGTGGATCTTGACAGCATTGTCGGGATCCGTCCCGGCTGCGGCAGTCTCAGTATACCGTGAGCTGTAGCTCGCGATATACTGAGCTTTGGGTCACGGGAGGAAGCTCGTATATGTCCCCCCAGTGACCCTTAAGAGAACTATGGGGAAAGACACTTACCCTATAGTTCTCTTTTAATGTCCTATAGTACAGTGTTTTCTAGTATTTCCTGTAGTACAGAGTTTTCCAGACCTCAGAGTACCTTATACTACCTTCACAAGCTTTGCATTGCCCAGCTACCACACCGAGCTGTGAACCACTGTTTGTGTTAAGGTTACAGGGAGGATTAATGTTAGTGTTAGGGCTATCGGGCTGATTAATGTTAGTGTTAGGGCTACCAGGATGATTAATATTAGTGTTAGGGCTATCGGGCTGATTAATGTTAGTGTTAGGGCTACCGGGATGATTAATATTAGTGTTAGCGCTATCGGGCTGATTAATGTTAGTGTTAGGGCTACCGGGATGATTCATGTTAGTGTTAGGGCTATCGGGATGAATAATGTTAGTGTTAGGGCTATCGGGATGAATAATGTTAGTGTTAGGTTTACCGGGATGATTAGTGTTAGGGTTACGGGGAGGATCAATGTTAGTGTTAGGGTTATCGGGATGATTAATGTTAGTGTTAGGGTTACGGGGAGGGTTAATGCTAGGCTGTGGGAAAGGTTTGTGTTGGAGTACAGCAATGGTTGGTTTATGGGTTATACAGATTATTAATGTTTTGGGTATGGTGAGAGGGCTATGGCTTCAGGAAAAGGGGGTCAGTGTGAGGGTTACAGAGGGAGTTAGTAAGAAAGGGAGCTCAGGGTAGGGCAATGCTTTCAGCACCGACATGTTTGCACTGAAAGCTACTAGTACCAAGCTTCCAATTGAATCTGCTGTATTAAAGGAGAACTATGAGGTGAGTGAAAATCACTCATCCTCATAGTTCGAGCTGACGTGTCAAAGAAACTGTCACACATCGGCTCAGTAGATGGGAAAGTGAGCGAACACATACCGTCACTCGCTCACTTCTCGATCATCTCCCTGTATTAAGCGGTGACTGTCAGTCACCACTCCCAGCAGGGATTCCCCCCTCCCCTCTCGGATCCTCCAGCGCTGACTGGAGGAACTGAGGGGGCGGGTACAGCTGGCTCTACCTCTAGAAAGGCAGAGCCAGCTGTCATTCATGCAGCTGGGTGGATCTTGACAGCATTGTCGGGATCCGTCCCGGCTGCGGCAGTCTCAGTATACCGTGAGCTGTAGCTCGCGATATACTGAGCTTTGGGTCACGGGAGGAAGCTCGTATATGTCCCCCCAGTGACCCTTAAGAGAACTATGGGGAAAGACACTTACCCTATAGTTCTCTTTTAATGTCCTATAGTACAGTGTTTTCTAGTATTTCCTGTAGTACAGAGTTTTCCAGACCTCAGAGTACCTTATACTACCTTCACAAGCTTTGCATTGCCCAGCTACCACACCGAGCTGTGAACCACCACACTACTCTTCCACATCCGCTCTTTCAACATCTGTATTTTGTTTCCCTATTTGCAGGTGTTTCTGGAGCTATATTGTCTGCTGCTGGTGACACGGTTAAAGAAGAATGCAGCAGAATCGGTAAACCTAAGTTATTAATTTTCTACTAACCTAAATAGAAATAGAGGTTTACAACACTCATGAACAGTTTAAAATTAATACTTAGTAAACCAATTTAAAGAGATAAACCTTTGGCCTCAAATAGATGCTAAAACTTTATGAATGCTGGTAGTGCAGATTACAATGATTAAAACCAAGCTCCGGAAAAAAAAAATGAAACACCACACTGTGTGGGTAAATTATCACAAAAAGGCGGTATGTTATATGTGGAGGATGGCTCTAAAGCAGTGGTTCTCAACCTGGGGTCGGGACCCCATCGGGGGTCGAATGACGATTTGCCAGGGGTCGCCTAGCGGCTTCCGGCCACCGAGGAGAGAAGAGCTTTCTCTGCTCTTTTTTTTTCTGACATCAGGCCCGCCGCCAGTCAGTAAAAAAAACACGTTCTCATAGAGCAGACTAAACCTTTCCAGGAGAAAGTTTTTTGTTTTCTTTTTCCCAACAGGGTTAAAAGTAAACCTGCCGCTCCGTGTGCACAGTGAGAGGGGATAGCAGTCTTCCCCTCTCACCTGTCACAGAGGTTCCAGCACAGTGGACCTCTGTGTGATAGCAATGAAGTTAAGTGGAAAAAAAATTGATAAAAACATTATTAAAGAAATAAAAATAAAAGAATTAAAAAAATAAAGCGATTAAAAAGAAATAAGAATAAACAAATGATTAAAAAATAAGAAAATGATAAAAAATAAACAATAATAAGGTGAGAGTCCTCCTCAGCCCTTTCCTAGCGCAGCAGTGTCAGTTCTCCCGCCACGCCGCTGCAGCAGTCGCGTCATCCCTAAATTTTACCGTTGGGGGTCACCACACCTTGGCAAATGTTACCAAGGGGTCCCGGCCCTAGAAAGGTTGAGAACCACTGCTCTAAAGTATAGAAATCTTACCTGGCAGCATCATGGCTCCTATACATAACGCTGGGCTTCTGGCACTGCAGGGAGTGATGGATGTGACTCGAGCAGTGAAGTGCTCCAGTCGTATCCCCGCTCCTCCTCACTACTTGTCCATTCACAAAATGCCTTGTATTTTCCTCAAAGAATACAAGGCATTCTGTGATTGGAGGAGGAGGCGAGGATGTAACATAATCGATCCTCCTCCATTCACAGAATTCCTTGTATTCTTTGAGGAAAATAGATGGTTATTTAGTTCTTCTGACTCCTTTCAATATCTCATGCACTCCCTTTCCATTGAAGTTTTAAATGATCTAAAATTAGTCCTGCAATAGACAGAAAAGGGAAACAAAGGCTTTGATCAGTCTGTGGAATTGTGAATAATAGCAAACTGTGGCTAAAGATTATAACATTATATGGAATTGCCTGTTGCATGTATGATACTACTACCGTCTTTATTTTTACTTCATTGTTATTCACATAATTTTTTCTAATTCCCTCCAGGAGTGTTGGGTCCTGAAGATGCTGCAATAACCAGCGGTGGAAATCTTAAAGCTAAGCATATCATGCACATTATTGGACCAACGGCAGTGCCAGCCTATGAACCTTCTATAGACATGATTCTACTTCAATGTCATGAGAGCAAGTTCAACAGCCTTGCTCTGCCAGCCATAGGAACAGGTAGGTGAATGATTGTTTAAAGGGGAGATATAAATACATATCTTTAAACACAGTAGCAGGTCATGTGCACACGTTTCTTTATTTTTGGATTGTGAACTGTAACAATGCATGCAGGTTACAGTCTACAAATCATGACTAGATATAAATGTCTAATTATCAATGGGGAATGGTTCATTGTGAGATGACATTGCAATATATGTCTTGGCTATATTTAAGGCATATTTCACTAAAAGAAATGAACATGAGTTACTGCTAAAACAATGGAATTCTGTGACATTCATGTATGGGGTGGTATGAGGAGTTAAAACCGTGGAGTTGAACTTTAAAAGGGAATCTACAGCCAAAACCAGTGACTCTACAGCCAAAGTATATCTATACCCAAAACTATTGGGTAGGGGGTGGTTAAAACCCTTGTTGGATTTTTATTGTTCTCTATATTAAACCTGATGACCATATTTGCCAGAACAGAAAGTGGTGAGAAAGTGCTCGTAAAAAAAAAGAAAAACAACTGTCAGGGGTTTTAACCATTTTCTACTGGAAAAAAAATAAAAAAAGGATTGGCCATTTACTGTATATAATTTAAGATATCAATAATTATTATTTATGGGTACTGTGGAATACCATACAATTCCTCAATAGTAACACGAGGCCAGTTAATGTCAAGCTAAGAAAATCAGAAATTCTTTGAGTGTCACGATCTGGGATCAGGCTCAGAGTCCAGTAGCTGAAACAGCAGGCAAATTCGTGGTATAACAGACTGGGTTTGGTACACAAGCAGGCGGGAGTAGAATGGGAGCAGGCAGAAGCATAGTCGGCGAACAAGCCGACGTCAGTCGAAAAAGGTATCAGGCATGAAGCAGAAGACAATGAGAGTAGTTGGTGAATCAGCAGCCAAAGGTCGGTACACGGGTAGCAGTATGAGCGGATTGTATCACAGAGGGAGCAGGAAGCAAGATAATGGCAGGAGCACAATAATCTGGCAAACAGGAAGTGCAGAGGCATGGCTAAAATAGGAAGTTCAAGGGAGGAGCAAGGAGTTCAGAGTTCAGCAGAAACTAGGTTTACCTGAGGATTACACATGGGAGCATGCAAGGAGCTATCCAAGGTTTCAGAGTGGCTCAGCAGGTAGAGCCACCACCAGACAAAGCAGAGGACCTGGGTTCAGATCCGAATCCTGACATTGTGCTTTGTATTAAATATTACAAAATATGCTTTCATTATTAATTCTTACTGATATTTTCAAAGGCATGGCTCGTGTTGACCCTGAAGCATCCATTAAGGCAATATTGAATAGCATTTTGAATTACTTACTGGAGGCATTGGTGCCAACTCTGGAAAGAATCAGCATAATTGTTATTCAAGAAAAGATTTACAAGACCTACCTTAAGGTTTTCCAAGCCAAATGCACTGAGATCCAGGTAATTATAATCTCAGTGCTATCCTAATTGCTGTCTGGACATTTATGAAAGTACTTCAATCACAAGTATATTAAACAAAATAGTTTGCGCTGGAAGTAGGTATGTCGGCACCAGCCGCAACAATGTATGTATAGATGTAAAATGGAAGGCTTGTGTGTTGCGCTCGGTTCAAAATCTATTTGGTTTGTCCGTGATATATCATCAAAACAATAGTTTATATAAGTCGATGTGGTGAAAGGTGATAATACAATTAAATGAACACAATCTATATAAAGACTAATGTGTATATACTAAATGTGGATATGTGATCACAAATGCTAATAAATAAAGTATGTGAAAAAACTGAGTGATGGCTTTTAAGCGGAAGTGACTTGAAAAGTATCAAAAAGTGCTAAATAGCCGTGTCTAGTACAAACTGTGAACCCAAAAGGCGCACAGTGAAATTAGTGCAAAAAAATGGATTGTGGACTGCCGTCTAAGTGAAATCTACCTATGATTTATTGTGCCGGACAATAAAACAGTGAGATGGTGATCTAGAGCGGAACTACAAGTTGTCCATCATATTTGAAAGATGTAATCATATACAAGCAATCTGTGGTGGTGGAGCGGAGCCACTCAAGGTGAAAGATGAATAAATCTTTAACTCAAAAGGAAAAAATGTTTTTCGACAAAAACCGATGCTCGGAGCATAGAAACATTTAGACTGCAGCCTCACTACTGTTAATATTTTTGCTTTCCTGAATCCAACTAACATTTCCAATAACAGAGAAGTAGTTTATAGATGAGACTCTGCTTGTAATCCATATACATTTTATCTTATGTTTTTTCTTTTTATGCCTCTCGTTTAGAACGGTTATGGTTTGAGTGGCTCCGCTCCACTGACATCGATTTGTTGTTTCCCATTATCGTTTATCGTATCATCGTTTATCGTTTATCGTTTTATCGTTTATCGTTTTGTCGAAAAACATTTTTTCCTTTTGAGTTAAGGATTTATTCATCTTTCACCTTGAGTGGCTCCGCTCCACCACCGCAGATTGCTTGTATATGATTACATCTTTCAAATATGATGGACAACTTGTAGTTCCGCTCTAGATCACCATCTCACTGTTTTATTGTCTGGCACAATAATTCATAGGTAGATTTAACTTAGACGGCAGTCCACAATCCATTTTTTTGCACTAATTTCACTGTGCGCCTTTTGGGTTCACAGTTTGTACTAGACACGGCTATTCAGCACTTTTTGATACTTTTCAAGTCACTTCCGCTTAAAAGCCACCACTCTTGTGAACTTTTTTCACATACTTTATTTATTAGCATTTGTGATCACATATCCACATTTAGTATATACGCATTAGTTTTTATATAGATTGTGTTCATTTAATTGTATTATCACCTTTCACCACATCGACTTATATAAACTATTGTTTTGATGATATATCACGGACAAACCAAATAGATTTTGAACCGAGCGCAACACACAAGCCTTCCATTTCCATCACAAGTGTCTGTAAGAATTTTTCATCCCTCGCCATGGAATTAGCATTAACAGATCTCGGTTCTATAAAAGCTTGGCAATGGGGCGTTATGTTCCAGTGCTGACATATATGTGTGATCTATTCAAATATCCAACATATAAGCTTTACATGTATCTTTTTAGGCAATGCAACGGGAGGAAAGGATTTTAGCTGCAATACAAGCTCAGGGTATGTATTTAAATTTATGTATTACAAATTAAATAAAAAGAATCAAGGGAAACCCAGAGCATTGAAATCTTGGATTCCTCTAAAAGCCACCTGAAACTGCTTATGAGTGCTGGTTAGAGGATGCAGACCCCTGCAACCTTGACTAAAAGGTTAGTCCACTTCCATTTGACTTTTAGTTATAGCTGGCCGTGGTCAAATCATCGACATGTTTGTAAACTGTTTGAGATTCAGTGCTTCAGCTCCTATCTCTGCTCCTACTATTGTCATAGGTGCTCTGTCCTTGTGCCCCTTACATTAATTCACAAGGCAACAAAAGTATACCAAGATTGTCCCCCCCTCCCCTCCTCCTTTTTGTTATGTTCTATTCTCCCCTTTACCCCCCAGTACTCAGAGACGTGTACGGGCACCTGTGGCATTCAAACCTGGTTATCATTTACACAAACTGTATAGCAGTATACTCATGTTTAACTGTGTGCCTTACTTGCTAATCTTGTCACAGAGGTAACTTTATTCTGAGTAGTGACTTTTACTGTAATACATTTCTTGATTTCCACACAACTGTTACCATTACTTGAAATTTGTAAAGCCCTGAATAAAAATGTATGGCTAAAAAAAAAAAAGTATACCAAGATTACACTACTAATACCACTGATCCCAAAGAAGAAGGCTCTATTGTACTACGCACTGGTTCAATTGAGGGCTTTTCATTGCCTTCTTCATTTTACTTACATATATATAAAAAAATTGAAGAGACTATACTTTCTCTTTGTGTAAAATACATAATCCGATAACCATGAAGTTTATGCATGACGTTTAATATACTATATATAAAGTTAGTCTATCATCAACAAAGATGAAAAGTCATGAATAATGGAAGGGCGATCTGACTGCTAGAGTATCCAAGGCATATAAGAAGCCAGGGTCTGGCTCAGTCCAGCAGGATCTGCCTATAACTAAAAGAACACTTTTGGGTGGACTGGCCCTTTATTTTCAAGTTTCCACACAGTAATTTAAAGTTTCCAAGTAGCAGTATCAGAGCTTATAACATTATTAGGGCCTGTGTTGCCAGGCTTTTGTTCACGTCAGATGGGTTTGGAATTCCCATATGCCTATAGGAATGCAAAAGTCAGTTGAATCAGGTCAAATGCAGATCCAAAAAAGGTCCAATGCAGGTCAAATGCACCTGTCAAGGAATTCTGATTGGTCTCAGAAGCATCTCAACTGATTTCAAGATTTCAAACTGATGGCATCAACACAACCACAAGCACATCGGCACTAGGCCTTGTGTACATTGTACATGTCTCATTCATGTGATGGTGATCGTATATATTATGTAAAGTCTAAACTGCCACTTTTCTACCCTTTCTGTTGCAGTCAAAATTAAGTACCCGTTAACATGGACGAACATTAGTACAGCAGAACTTTCAGAAGTGACTTTGATGGAAAATTCAGAAGAATACCAAAAAGTAAAAAGTGATTTCATTGCAACTTCCACACCAGGCTCATTTCAAGTCCTGAAGGTTATTATTTTTTCCCATATGTATTAAATCAGATTTTGTAACATACACTGAAGAGTCACTGGAGGAATTGTACAGCAAGGGGGTATGAATGGATTGGTTGTACAATATTTGTTGGGTGTGATAGGTATGATCATGAGACAACAGAACCCTTTCCAGGTTACTTAGCTTTTGATGTCCAGTGTGTCAGAATGTGATACATTATGAAGCCAAGCTCTGAAAGGGTTATGTTAGGACTCCAGGATGTGAAGTGGGGTATGATCTCTGAAGTGGGTGTGCATACAACTCAATAAAACTGTGTGAGTTAATAGAAAAGGAGAAAGAGAAGAAAGGAGAGTTGGGATAAAAGAAGGGGAGATGGGGTTTGTATGTTCAACTGAGGCAATCCAGGAGGGAGCATGTTCACAGAGCAAAGGCATAGGAGATATAATCCAAGCTTTATCTCATAGATTATTTTGCTTGAGCTTGTCCAAGTCCAGATATATATTGCTCAAGAGAATCATGTGCTATCTCTCTTGCTTCTTCAATTTGTAAAATACATTCAACTTTGTGTAGCCGTTCACCTATAGATTTGTGGATTTCCGGGGATAGTGGCAAACCTTTGCTCTTAGGGGTTGGATTTTAGGACAATTCCACTAAATGTGGAGAATGGATCTGACATCTGATCCTCATGTCCAAAATAAATTACGGATCCAAGGAAAAGTTTTTGTTTTTTTTGGGGTGGGGGGATTGATACCATCTTGACAGAAGTTTGTAAGAGGTTTTCTGAATTTTCAAATTCATGGAACCCCTGTGAGCTAAGATGTATATTTTCATTAATTGTGCATCAGTGAATGTCATGTTAAGGTCTGTTTCCCATAGTTTCTGGAAATGTATGTCGTATGTGGGAAGAACAAGCATTAGAAGTGAGGAAAGTATGGTGATTGTGTGTCGTATTGGAGGTAGATTCACAATGGGATAGGTGGGAAGGTTTTAGATGGCCTAATGTGAGGCTGGTCCTGAAGGGACCCTGAGGATATCAGTTCTTTAATCCTAGAATAAATTGTCATGCATATATTTACAAGAATAATATAAAAAGTAAATTCGCTGAACATGGTTTTCACCAAATGTTCTCATTGCTAATGTAGAGAACAACATACAAAGAGTGAGAACAAGGAAGTCATGAAGCATCCCTCTACGTTATGCTTTCTGCTTACATAAACCTATGCAGGGTTGCCTGCTTCTAGCACATTGTGTTCTGTATCTCCAGAAATACATAAGTGCATTGCAGCATAGAAATCATTTATGGCTCCAGGCTATGAGGGGCATTTAATCAAACAAGAAATCTTAACGAAGAAAAAATTGTCCTTTTATTTCTGTGTGTAGATACAAAGGATTCAACACTTGAAACTGTGGCAGAGCTTCTGGATTAACAAAATGGCCGTGGACCGCAAAAATCCAGGAAAGCGGAACATACGCCATCTTTACCATGGCACAGCATCTGACAACATCAAAAACATTAACCAAGGAGGCTTTAATCGCAGTTATTGTGGAGTGCACGGTAAGATAATGATTTCAGATGAGACACAAAAGGTCTAAATCCAAGCTCCTGGTAAACCAGAAAGTAGCAGTGGTGTCTGTATCACAAAAATGGCTGGCCAAAATTACAAATACATTGGTAAGCAAGACAGTATTTATGTATTTCAGCTGTGCATTAAACTGTTTGCCTGGCAGTCCACTTTATTATTACAAAAAAAATAAGTATATCTAATCCCAAGAAAAATAATATATTGCAGCTAACCTGTCCTTAGATGAGGTTGATGCATTAGTTTTCTTTTTCATCTGGTGATCCTGCCAGTAACACCATTTCTGTCCTAGGGTGACATTGCATGTAGTGCAAGGTTCGCTTTAAGTACACCATTGAAAGCATTATAATAATGGTTGCTATAATCTGTTTTAAAAATAACTGTTGATCCTGCCGGAAATCCATTGCTATCCTATGCACACTGTACTGTTATCTCAAACAATGTTAAATCCCTGAGTTAACCTCCTCTCATGTTATGGAGATACAACACTTATTTTCTCAGGGTTGTGTTGTCACCGTGGGACAGAAAATGTGTTTCTAGTAGGAAAAAAACCTGGAAACAGGAAAACAGCCACCACATCTATGGACTAGTAAGGTACAATATATTACATTTTGGTTCTTGGGTTTAGATACACCATAAAAGTTATAGCACATACAGAATACATCATAGTAGGTGGTCATGTAACAAATGTTTTTTGCTCTACTCTTACAGGAACAGCCAAAGGATACGGCACATACTTTGCTGTGCGGTCCAATTACTCTTGTGGCAACACCTATTCTGCTCCTGATGGTAACGGGCACAAGTTCGTCTACCAGGCTGCAGTGATAACTGGAAAGTATTGTCAAGGAGACTACAAGTTAAAAGAGCCTCCCCACCTCGATAGTGGCCCCAGCAGTGACCGCTTTGATTCTGTGGCAGACAAAATCGAAGCCACAACATATTTTGTTGTGTTCCACGATGACTACGCCTACCCAGAATACCTGATCACTTTTAAATCCTGCTAGTGATTCCTAGAATATTGCCAAAATAACCTTCCAAAACTGTAACGGCTTGCCATTAAAACTGCCAAAGGATCTCCTGACCACCATATGGATGAACTCCACCAAGCTTCACTTGCATTTAAAAGGACAACGTGAACCTCTGAACTGAATTGACAAGATCTGTGAAAGGAAAAACTACCACCTGTCTCCCACCACCGCAGAGATAGTTCTCAACTGCATACAAGTGCAGTAACTTCACCACACTTGTAGTTCACTGACACTTCTGCAGTAGCCAGAGCATTGCACGGCACCCACAATCCAATGATCGTGGTTGCAATGCTTTACTGGCTCCAATGCAAATAAAAACTGAATGAACATTGTTTCTTTTATGAATATGTGCGCATTTACTATTTTTTTTTTTTAAAAGTAGATTTATAACTTTTTACAAAATCAACCATTCCAATTCATAAAGTGCATTTGAATGAGTATTTTTGCTTCAATTTGTATAATACCATCATTTTCCGCAGAGCTTTACAGTAGAGCATTAGGCTTAATTTACTAAGCTAAAGCAAGCTTTCATAATGGTACATTAAAAGACACAGGCTGGTAATTCAGGGACATGCAGTTATGCTGATGCCTTTAGGAGATTGGACACTGGAAAACAAAGGCAGTAAGGACAGCATAGTGTAACCCCTGTGAGGCAATACTGCAGTCTGATGAACCCCAAACTGAACAGAGAATGGTACGTTGTACTAGAGTTTAGCAAATCTGCCACACAAATTTAATTTAAATTATTTTGTCTGTAGCGTCACCGTAGAACCTACACATTCCATATACACCCCCACCAGCACAAGTTCAGCCTAAAGACTCATCTAGCACAAGCAGGTGTCATAACTTACTATTGAATAGCAGAGCCCATTAACAGCTGGTCATAAAAGACTAATGGCCATCATAACAGCACTTAGTAGAGTCCGATAAGGCAGAAACTCTTAAATACTTTGGAATAATAAACATTTTCCCCAGAGTTAAGTTTCATATTATTCTCATAATGAATGATATGATGGTGCTACATTAATATCGGGTTGGTTAAGACCAAACACCCCTGTATTACAAGGTGAGGTGCAAGAGGTGAATTATATACATTCTATCCTCTAAGGGGAATCAGAATCAAATCCATATCATGATGATTTCTATCAAACTGTAATTTTATGCTATGCAATAATGTTAAACGTAAAACCGTGTCATCCGGAAATATGTAGTTAGAAAACTGGCAAGAAGGGAGTGCCTGCTGAACTACCAGTAAACATTTTGACACAACCTCAGCTCCCTCCTCAGACCTTTTGGTTGATTATGTTATTTCTGTATCCTCCGTCTTGAGGGACCTGAAAAGATGATTGCATCTGCATCTCATAGCTCTCAATTTTCCATCTAAACTATGCATGAATGCTGAGTCATTGAGCCATCTCTGAGGGCCAGTGACTATGATACACCAGATTGGACCTATGATAAAGTAACTTGGACTCTAAAGACTGGAACTAAAAACCAGGTGAACATGTTAAGTACTTTCATACTTTAAAACCCATTTATTTTTATCTTTGTCTATGTTTGTATTATCTTTTTTGTAAATATTTTTCTTGCAATGTATTTCTTTCATTAAAAACAATATTTAAAAACCATCAAGCTTTATCTCCAATGCTCTACATCAGAACTTAAAGAGTTTTTGCCTCTTTGAAGAACACTACCATTTTTAAACTTCTGTTATATACCTGCTTAAGGGAATTCTGTTATTCTCCCAGTGAACGGTCAGTGAGTGTTAGGCCTGGTTCACACCTGACCGTTTTGTAGCGCGTCCTACGCTCGATGAACGCTCTACAAAACGGTCAAAAAAATAAATAGCACTGTAGTCAATGGCCTCGTTCCCACCTGTCCGTATTTCCGCCCGTCCCGAACGCACTACAAAACGGCCCACGCATGAAAAGGTCCCGGAGCGTTTTTTGCTGCGTATTGGTCCGTTTTGTAGGGCGTTTTCCATTAGTATACTGCCAAGTAGCCTTTGGAATCGCGCGACGGTCGCGCGGCTTTTTTACCGCGAATCGCGGTAAAAAAGCCGCGTGACGGTCGCGCGACAGACGCGCATATTACAATACGCATAGGTGTGAATGGGGCCTTACAAACATTGCTTAAGGTGTGAATTGTCACAGCAGTTGTCACAGCATACTCCTTATGCCCAGGTACTGGTCAAAGCCTGGGACTTCATTCTGCCACAATTCCACAACTGCGGGCAAGTCATTATGACAGTGAGGGGGCATCCCGACTTCTCAGAGTAGGGGAACATCTGTTGGCCTTTGTGGCCACCTGGCTCCAGGAGATTTTAGATGCCTGAGGCCACAATGTGATTTCCAGGGGCTACAAGCTGGATTTCCAATCTCTACCTCCATCTCACTTCCTGTTGTCAAACCTGCCAACATCCCTACAAAGGAGTCATACCCTTGGTTCTCGAAAAGGAAAGGTTCCAGATTTTTTCTCAAACCTGTTCACGGTTCCTGCAGTCAATGGGAACATTTTCCCCGTACTGGATCAAGATTCTCAACACCTTCCTCCGTATACAAATGTTCCACATGGAATCTTCCAGATCTGTCATTGCTTCCCTTGGTCCAGGGGACTTTGTGGCCTCCGTAGACATCAAAAGTGCCTACTTGCATGTCCCCAACTACTCCAAGGAAGTTCCAGATGCCCAATCTAATTTCAGACTGTTGCAACTCAACATTCTGGCAATGCAGACCAGGCAGGCTCAGTCTCTGGATTGCTGCTTTTGCCTAACTCACATAACCAGGCTTTTCCTGGCCTGGTGGATTGCGAGTCCAGTGCTGGAGTCAGGGAAATCTATGCTTCCTGCAGTCCTATGCTTCCTGAAGGTCCTCACAATGGATGGCAGCCAGGCTGGGGAGGAGTACTGCATGCTCTCTGAGAAAGTCTGTTGCACCATTTACAACATACCATCATGGGTCAGGTTCTCGGCCCTGATGATTCTCTTTCAATCACCCCTTGCCTCATACTTCTTTGTAAAAGTCTTTATACAGAGTGTCACGCACATTGCTCCACCCTGTGCATTGCCCAGTAACTTTGTGGGATTGCAGCATGGTTCCCTCAGTTCTACAGAAACTGCTCTTTGAGCCTATCAGGGGTATTCCCGCCTACTCTCACTTACAAGGTTGCCTTACTTGTTGACATCACCACTTTGAGGTGAGTTTTTGAATTTACAGTCTTAAAGCTGAAGTAAAGCCTACTTGCCATAATGAGCTAGTATGCACAGCATGTTTAGCCAGGATGGGGGGAGGGAGGGGGGTCAACCACTTAGATGTTTTTGCAGATAGGAACCCACAGGCATGCAATAGGAAAGAGGATGCCCTTTTTAACATCTGAACAGTGCTGTGCAATGGGGATGATGGAAAGCATGGGGAATTTTTTTTTTTATCTGCCAAAAGGTGAACTAACCATTTAAAGAAAAGTTAATTCCTTGTTGAATACAGATAAGTCCCTGCAGAGAACAATACACCAGCTCAATGTCTTTGCCTTTGCACTTATAATACATAATAAAACAGACACACAAACACATGACGCATCCTATAGATATTGTAAGAGACAAATACAAGAAGCAAAATGGAGTAATAAGATAGCCATAATTAAAATTACAGCCAATGCAGCAAGAATTTGAGCTGTGGGTGGCCCTGTCGGCATTACCAATACCAACAAACTTACAAAATCAGCCTGGTGGAAAACTGTCAGCCAAATGGTAACTGCAATCAATCAGATGTAGTCACTGTTCAGGTATTCAGGCAGCCACGAATGCTGTGTGTCTGAATACAATAGCAAGGGAGATTCCCCCATCCATACAGTTTGTTGGACGGGGAATTGAGTGATGCTGAGAAAGGGCTTGACTAAGGTAGCTCAGAGTTACCTTTAATTAACCCTTTACCATAAAACCCACAACCCCCCCTACACAATGAATATGCTACACGAAATGGTGGAGTTTAAATGGCCACAGCAGCCATTTATTACAAAAACTTTATAAATAACATTTTATAAATAACAACAACAAACAATAACTATACTGTATACAAAATTGGTTTCAAGGTCCTTGAAGGCACTGTAACATATACCTGAATGCCCCCAGCCGCCATACACTGCCTCAGGGACATAATAAAATTGCCCGTAGACTCACATTGGTACCTATTACCTCATAACCATTTGACCTTACCACCACAGAAGGACACCCACCCAACCGATGGGTCCCCCATCAAGATATGCAAGCATAGACCAATGCCCTCAAGGATCCAAACCGCCATAGCGCAAAAGCATGACACCTCATGCGTTTGCGCCCCTCCACAAACGAACAGCCCACTGCAGCCCATCCTGCAAGCCTAAAAAACACATGTCCGTCCCTACCGCATTGAGATGAACTCCATCCACCCGCAAAATAGGTCATTGCCACCCGCATGAATCAGCAACACATCTGGGGGCCTATCTAAGCGGGAAAAACAGTGAACCTCCAGCTACACTTGACTCCATTGCAAACCGGGAACCCCAATCAAACGGACCCTGGCCTCCTCCCATGAAAACCCCATTTGCCTACCATTGGGTCACACCTCGACCCTACGAACACAACAAGAAATGTAAGAGTGCCCCAAAATCCATATGAGGCAGCGGCAGTCACCTGCAATACAAAAAAAATAGAAAAACACCAACCCCTGCATCACCATCAACCAACAAACAGATCACATAGAAAGGCAATGAACAATCACACCAAATGGGGTCGGACATATAGGCGGTATCGACTAGACTCCCACCGCCCGATCCGTTTCACTGTTTTCTCGAACAGATCCCACCTAGCTGCCTCCGTAGCCGCCCCTATCCAAAAGGAATGGGAAGAATTCTGCGCCGCATCAAACCGCATCAAAACGCATCAAACCCCAACGCCGTCAGACATTTACGAAAAATGGCCACAAACTGAAACCGAGACAACGCGGACCCATCCGCGTGTACCAACAAAGACCCCCCCCACACGGCTGCAGTGC